CAAAATCGTGTTATACATAGCTGTTAGTCTTGACGGTTATATATCGAATGAAAACGGCGGCATTGATTGGCTCAATGATTATCAGAATTCTGGCGACGATTATGGTTACAGTGAATTCTTGAAACGTTGTAAAACAGTCATAATGGGTTCGAAGACGTATGAACAAGTATTAACATTCAATCATTGGTATCAGAATGTTGATGCATATATATTCACAAGTCGATCGAATTTACATAAAATTGAAGGTGAAAATATTGAATTTGTCAATGAGAATCCATCAGTTTTAGTAAAAAAGTTACGTCAAGAAGAAACGGATTCGTGGTTAGTAGGTGGTGGACAATTGATTAGTTCATTTATCAATAATAATTTAGTAGATGAACTCATTCTAACTGTGATCCCAATAATTCTGGGTAAAGGCATTCAACTATTTCAAAATTTAAATCAACAAATTACAAAACTTCAGCTTGAAGAATGTAAACATTATCCAGATGGAATAGTACAACTAAAATACAAATTTGAAACAATGACATATCATTTATAATGAAAGTTAGTTTTTTTCTACCTAGTTGCATTTCTTCAGTAAAGTACACGTTTCGATAGTGTTGCGTGATTTCAGTTCGAAGAAAACTAAATAATAGCTGATAATCTTAGTACACATCTAAATTTAAGGTACTTACAAGCCAGTCTGTCAGCATTGCATTCAAGAATAACGGTGTATGGTTTTCAGAACCAGTACATCTCATTTACTAATTCCATCGCATAGTCAGTTGAATTATTGAGAAAGAATATCCAAAATGAAAATAGAAAGTTTAATAAATAACACATTTGGGGTTGATACATCATTTTCGCTGTGTATTATAAGCAATTGAACATTCTACGGCGGATAATGAACATAGATGGTTTAAACAAGAATTTGCTCATGATGTTAAAACCAATGTTACTTCACAACATGAAATCAATGTAGTATGTTCCGATGTAGGTCTGCAAAAGTTCAGCATTCCTTTTTAGCGTTCTCTTTGAACGTAACGCTAAAGCACGTTGGCGTTCCTTGAACGTGAACGCGAATGTTCTAGTGAACGTTAACGTTAGCGTTACGTTCAAAGAG